AGACAACAGAGTATACACATTTTGTGATGAATAAGTATGATGGACAAGTTACAGGACAAGCTGTAGCACTAGAGCAGTATATCACAAAAAGTATGTGCTATTATTCTATGCGCAGGTGTGTTCCTGGTGAGTGGGCACAATCAATAATAGTATGGAGTTCAAATAACCACGATGAAGAAGTCATGAAGAAATTAGGCACATATCCTATTGAACGTATAGGAGATTTTGTTTTAATTAGAAGTCTAAAAGTTGGCGGCGCAGTCCAACTATCACAACAAGAAGGTCAGGTACTTACTCTAGACAATGGTATGCTTTTAAAAGACCCCACATTCCCAGAAGATATTTTCCAACAATACAAGTCCGCTGCAGCTAATTACTCTCAAAAGTTGGGAAATGATCCAGCTACGGCTATACTAGAAGCGCATATTACTGTTGCCCTCATGACACAGAAGATGAGCATGATAAGTGCTTGGGAGCAAATGTGTTTTATACAGGCTGAAATTTCTCGCATCCACCGATGGATGATTTTCCAATTTCCAACCTCATCGACAAAATGGGTACATCAGGCTTTGGGTATGACTGTTGAGCCTGCTGGAGATGCTCTACTATTAACAAAATGTCAAAACCACACTACGTACGCTATAAACTATGCCTGTAAGATAGGCAATTTCTGCTTCAAGCACTTCCCTATCACTTTGCCAAATTCAAATATCACTTATTTTCTAGAGGTTAGCGACAGAAAGTTAATAAGGACCAGTCCTCGAATCCCTTGTAAACTCAGACCAAAACACACCTACCTGCAAGATCCAAAACTAAACACTATGTATGAAGTAACCGCCTTTGGGCGAGTTAAAATTGTAAAGACCCAACTAGATCATGTTTTACATTCATCAACCAAACCAATTCCTCGCATTCGAGGTTATAGCGAGGATATTGTAATCGATAAGCCACAACGGCTCTCACCATATACTGTTTTACAATTAATATCTAGTTCCCATACAACTCTTCAGACGCTCAAAACTATCAGCGACACCAACGGTGGAGATGTCTTGAATGGTATTGGCACAGCTTTAGGAAGTGCCTTACAAGCCACCACAAGTGGAGGAAGCCAGATCATTAAAGCCTATGGGGGTGCTATAAAGGATTCATTGAATGGAGTTTCAGACTTAGATGAGAAGCTAGTCCGGTCAATTGGAGACGCTTCCTCATCGGTGTTAACAGCCGCCGGTGGGGCTGTGAAAGATGTTGGAGAAGGTGCAGGATCCTTCTTTTAGAAATTCCTTGGTGGTATAAGCGGATCCATTCTGTGGGCAGCAATACTTTTAATAGTAATATATTTAATCTTGAACAAGCCTAATTTAAATTATTCCCTGCCTTGCTTAAGATGTTTTCAAATACCATTGGTTAATGAAACTGTAGTACAGCCACGCCAGGATCAGTCCATGACAATGTCTCCTAGAGTATAAGGACGTCACCCACGTAATTGCTCAGCTTGTAAGGTAGTTCATAGGGAGTAAAAAGAATACCGGTGAACGATAATGGCAGGAGTTAAATCTTGTATAATTTCTGGATGGAGATGTGAGACGCCTCCAACCACCACGAGTTTCCTGAAAAATGCAATTTTTCTGTTTTTCTTGCGCTGTGTTGCTGTTTGCAACAATGCTGTTTAGCAAAAAATTTTTACGATAATTCAATGAACTTTTATAGTGCTGTTTGGAACAAACGATGAGCTTGATGTGCAATGATGCTGTTTTCAATAATTTTTATGATGCTGTTTTATTACGATGAATTTTTATGGTGCTGATGTGCAATGATGCTGTTTCGCAATGATTTTTATGATGATATTTTATTACGATGAATTTTTCAGTTGCTGATGTGCAATGATGCTGTTTCGCAATGATTTTTATGATGCTGTTTTATTACGATGAATTTTTATGTTGCTGGTGTGCAATGATGCTGTTTCGTTTTCCGAGCTGTTGATTTTCCTTAACGAGATATTGGCGATTACCCGTTTGCTACTCACTTGAGATTATATTGCTGTTTTGATGACACTTTTAAGTCCGAGGACGGACTTTTTGTTCGTCTTGAGTAATGTTATGAAGGTGGGTTACTCAAACGGAACGCTTGAGTAATTCAAGTTTATTGAACCATATAGACGTGTAGCATAGGCGCTAGCGTACCAAAACAATTTGTTTATGAACCGAAACGCGTCTAGCCTTTAAACAAAACGTATAAAAACGTCAGTTAACAAACGTTCCTAGTTTTCTTGATCGAGTTCTTCATCCAGTTCTTCATCCAGTTCTTCATCCAGTTCTTGATCCGGTTCTTGACTGGGTTCTTGATTTGTGTTCTTGATTTGTGGTTCTTAGTTCTGAGTTCGTTGTCCGAGGTAAGTGGTTGAAAGAGTTGAAGAAGCGATTGAAGTTGTTGAGGAGCCGAAGATGATAAAAAGATACCAGAAGATATAGTAAAACAAGTTGTATTATATTTATACGGTTTTATATAATATATCGGGACAATTGAAACTAGTATTTATATTTGTTACAAGTTGATACGAAGTGTTGTTTGGATTATCAGTAACTCGTAACATTTATTTATGCGTACTATCTAAAGCGTAGTAACTAAAAGGACTGTACGTTAACACAGTAAAAGGGTATGACTTAGTTGAATGAGTTGAGTGAGAATGAGTTTTTATTAATGGAACTAGAGATAATAGCTCCTTTGAGCAACAATCATGATAGTTTGATGGTCAAGGACTAAAAGACCTTGCTAATAACAGATAGAAGACTGATCAGGCAATAGTTTAGAGAGAATTAAAGAGAGCTCTGGAGAACATTTATGTAAGACTATGACAGGAGTGTTGTCTAGTCCACAAACAACAAATGCTGGAGTGATTTGAATGTCTAACAATTAGCTAATCTGTTTAACTGCAATGGAAGGAAAAGTATGGCAATAGAATTCAAGAGTTTAATGAGAAAGGTTCTTTGCAAATATTCTGCGAGAAGTAATATGATCAGTCCCTTAAATTTAATTTTAACCTTTGTTAATGACACTGTATAATATTTTCCTAAAGTCTCTTTTTTTTCTCAAAATTTCATCAGGTTGGCAAAAAAAATTTCTCAAAAGATCAAAAACCATATTATCTGACAATAAGTTATTTGACTCAAAATGGGGTGTTAGAAATTTATTGATCAAAGACTCAAATACCTTTTCACCTTTGTTAATGACACTGTATAATATTTTCGTCTCAAGAACCAAACTTCTGAGATAACACACGAGATTCAGTAAACTGAATAATAAGCATTTGAGGCTCATTTATCAGTGGAGAGAGAAAAGACACTCTTTTAAAGACTGTCAAGATGAAAATCAAGGAAAGAATCATCTTTAGTGTAGCAGTAACTAGTGCCATGATAGTCTAAAGAAGAAGTACGAGAAGAAGTATTTATAGAGCATGGTTAGAACCATCTAAATTGAGAATAAGAAAAAACTGAACACAAGCTTGTGTCAGAGACAAGACACAAATTAAGGAGTGAAGCTAATTTATAAATTCAGATGATTTAGAATTGACAGCTTCAAAATGAAATTTCATATACTTCCCACCTTATATCTGTCAAAATTTTGCTAAAATTAACATCAGAGTTAAGATGGAAGATCATTAAAACTTCTTCAATGTAAGTTGTCAAATTCTTAAACTCATCTTCCCAACCATCCCAAACAAATAAAGTTATATTTATTAACTAAAAGATGCGATAAAGGAAGATTTAACAACTTATCTGATATTAGTCTGATTATCGAAAGAGAAAAAATCTTTATTTCCTTAATTCAATATTTGATTTGCTAAAACAGTTGTTTCAATAAAAATCCTTAGATAATAGCTTAGGATGTTATGCATATATGTTTACTTCATAACTTTAAAATATAAACATACATTTATCCGAAAAACTAATAAAAGTTGTTGCAAAACATGCTTGAGCATAGTGCCCAACATTCATAAAGTTCATAAGATATTTTTATAATTTTAGTATGCATAAAAGGTTTTAATATGCATAAAAAGAATTTTAATAACTTATGTCGTCCATAAAAAATATTTTGACTTTGAAAGTGATTAATTTGACAATATAAATGCATTAAAAACAGACTTTTTGTGCAAAAAACACCAGGATAACATAAGATTGAAATAGATTAAACACTTATGGATAAGAGTGCCAACCGTCAAGCATGAAGTTAAGTTAGGTAATCTTAGTTGGCTCAAGAAAAATTGTTTTATAAATTTTTTATTTTTTTATGCGGAAACAGTTTTTTTTTTCTTCCATAAACTTGTGACTTGCCCAATTTTACATTGTAGGAAACATTCTTTTAACTTACTCTTAAAAAAAGTTATACTTTTTTTAAGAGTAAGTTAAAAGAATAATCCTCTAATACTGGCTTCTGATTGGCTTGTACCAGGGACTTTATATTCTCGTGTTAATATAATTGAATTTAAAAAGATGCTATTTGTTTGATCCAGGTCATTAAAATAAAACAACCCTATTTCAAAACATCTTTAAAATGCTATTGGTTTGTTCCAGTTCCTTATTCCTATTGTCTTGTACCAGTCTTTTCACCTTCAGATGAAAATCTTCATTTTTATTGTTTTATTTCAGTACTGGATTTGGTTTGTTTTTAATTTTGATTGGTTTGTTCCAGTTTTCTATTCTGATTGGCTTGTTCCAGATTCCTCAGGTCTAGGCTGATCACACTCTCACTATTTCATTATAATCATCATATGATATTATCACTCAGTACTACTATGGAGTTGAATGTCATGTGACTGTTTGTTGGAGGAGTAAGAGGGCTATATTCCTTACCTTAGTGACACGCATATCATCACACATTGTAATTATTCCACTCATTTTTTAAATATATATTTACATTTTATTTTTAATAGGTATTTTAGATTAACCATGGATTTATATATTGTATTTGTTGTTAAATTTCTAAATGTTTTTTTATTGTTTTAGGAACAAGTATGGCTTTAGTGAAACATCCTTATGTCTTATGTACACCCCATTTAGGTGCAAGCACTGTTGAAGCCCAACTAAGGGTTGCAAGAGAAATTGCTAAACAAATTATTGATGCGCGAGATGGAAAGACAATAGTAGGCCTGGTATGTTAAGATGGTTGTTTTCTTTTCATATAAATAAGAATAAACAAAATTTGTAATAAATTTTTCTTTTAATGCATTTTAAGAAATCTTAAGGAATTTCATGTTTTTTTACTTATTATTAATTTTATAAGTTTTGTAAGTCTTACCTTTTTTTCTTATCTTTACACTTCTTTTTCTGCTGAATATTGGTTTTATTTTGGTTAAAAATCAACTTTTCTAAAAGGTATTGAATTTTACCTGATGTTACTAATTATTCTGCAAGTTTAAAGCTTTTTTTTTATTTTTTCTGATATTTATATATAATTGAATTTTATAGATAATTAATATATGATAGATATTAATTATATATATATATATATATATATATATATATATATATATATATATATATATATATATATATATATATATATATATATATATATATATATATATATATATATATATATATATATATATATATATAATGATATTTAATGTTAAATAATTATATAAACTATTTTAAACTTATCAAGACCATTGTCTCAATAATAATAATTTAAAAAAATGAGAAGCCTCCTCGACTGTAGTGGTCCCCTCGGGCCTTGGGGAGGTGAATAATTAAAAAAAAAAAATCTTATGATTTTTCAAACTATTTATTTTTTGCTTTAAATTCTTTTTTTCTTTACTTTTATTCTAATTTTCTTCATTAAAGCTACTTACCTATTATTTTTCTTGCTACTTGCTTTAAATTCTTTTTTTCTTTATTTTTATTCTAATTTTCTTCATTAAAGCTACTTACCTATTATTTTTCTTGCTGCTTACATTAAGTTTTTTTTAATTTTTTTTTTCTATTTTTTTTCTTGTTTTGAAAAACTGTTTTCTTAAAAACTGTGCAATCTTATTTTGATATACAAACATCACAGCTGTAGTAAGAAAAGATCGTTATATAAAAACATCACAGTTGTAATAATCTTAGAAAAGATCATTATATACGTTTCATGCACTTAGTATACAAACATTAAGTTTAGTTTTTTTTTTTTATCTTTATAGGGTCATCATTAATTTTTTTAAAACAAAATTATTTTATAATAAACAGATATATTTTTTCACATAGACTTATTATATAAATATATTTTGGTAACTTATTATATATATATATATATATATATATATATATATATATATATATTTATATATATATATATATATATATATTTATATTTATATTTATATATATATATATATATATATATATATATATATATATATATATATATATATATATATATATATATATATATATATATATATATATATATATATATATATATATATATATATAGCACTCCCTTGCGAGTCAGGCTATTTGTCAGTCGATGTAGCAGCACTTCGTTGCAAGTCAGGCTATAAGATAGTCAATGTAGCAACACTTACGCATGTTTTAAAAATGTTTTTTATAAAAACAAAAACACCACTAATTAAAAAAAACTTTCTAGTCATTATTATTGCGGTTTTTTTAAAAAATAATAAAATTTAATGTACTTTCGCATTAATTTAATTGCTTTGACATTTTGGCGACAATAAAATGCAGCTTAAGAGACGATGTAAAAAATTTGTAGTCAAAAGAGATTTTTTTTACCATAAAAGTCTCTTTCGACTACACTTTAAGGATATATATATATATATATATATATATATATATATATATATATATATATATATATATATATATATATATATATATATATATATATATATATATATTAGGATGTCTCTTATACTAATGAAATTTTTTTTTTCAGATTTTCAAAATGCATGCCCAGGCTTGGTCAGGAAGCAGGTGCGATCGCACTCAATAATTGACCACATAAATAATATTTAGTTGCGAAAAGCCGGCCAGATTTTTAAGTCATTTTGAGAACATTTCAAAAACAAACAAAAAAGCGCATTAAGATTAACGAAAGATCAACGAAAGGCAGTTAGAAAAAGACGTGAAAAAACCTTAACCAAAATAAATACGGTTAAAGCAAATATTTTTGAAACGTGGCTCTTTTATAATTTTTTTTATAAAATTAAGTGACATTTTTTGTATAAAGCGACAACTTACTATTAATGATTGTTTAATTAAGAAACAAATGTTCTTCGATTCATCAAACAGTATATATAATTTTTATTTATATACTTGTCTTATTTCCAGTGCCGGATTGAGGAGGTAGGGGTGGGAGTAGAAGGGCTATAGCCTCAAAACTCACAATGTTGTGGCCCGCGAAATAGTCAAGAGGACCATTCAGTATTTTTTTTAGTCATTTTTACGCTGTGGCACATAAAAAAGGCTGCCAAAATAATGCAGTCCCCGGCCCTGAAAAGTCCAACAAGATTCAACCAATAAAACTAGCGTTAGATGATTTCCCGGTGGAAATGAGCGAGCGACTAGCTAGCTTTATAGCAATGTTTTTTTCCTATTTTATTATTTCCTAATGTCTTTAACATCTTTAAAAAATCGATTTTTAGTGTTGAGTTTATTATAATTATGAAGATAATAGAACTTTAAACATTGCGATTTTGTAGCAATGTGTCGCTAGCTACATATCGTAGCTTTGTAGCTAGCTACAAAATATCTACAAATCTGTAGCTGATTGATAGCTACAAATAAAAATTTTTTAGACAACGACTTTATTACGATATGACGCTAACTGCAATAGCCAGTGAGACTTTAGCTTATTAAGCTGGCTGTCCTCTTAATCAAATGTCTGTCTTTATCTTCACAAATATCGATAGCTTTTCGCTAACTTAAAAAAGCTAGTGATCCTCGTGGCCAAATCGCTGTCTTTATCGTTTTGATTATAGCTAGCTATTGGCTAGCCGATTTCCCACCGGGTTATTTATAAATAAAAAAGTTTTAATAACTGTTTTATGCTTCACGTAGTTTGAAAAGTTTAACACATTTAAACAATTTTTTTTAGTAAGATGAACAAATGAAGTAATTAAATCATTGAGTTACTGTAAAAATTCAATAAGCTAAATAGAAATTAACTAAAAACGTTAAATTATAAAGAAGAAAACGGAACTGCTTCACAATAACGCTGAAGATGTTTAATGAGTGGGCTTTATAATTTTAATTAGTATTAAAAACAGAAAAAAGTAATTTTAAGTTGAAGTATAACGAGTTTGTAAGAATGACTGAAGCAAAAATAATTGAGGTTAGTTAATTAATTTCTAAGAACTTAAAAACTTTTCTTTCTTGGAGGAAAGAATCAGTTATCGACTACACTGAGGAAAATTGATTAGTGGTTAAAATTATTTGTATTAACTTTGATGATTATTAATAATTTCATTAAAAATGCAGTTATTATTGAAAGTAATTTTGTTTACAAAATCGATCGCTCAAATTGCTTTAAAAGATTACATATTTTTATTCAAATGTAATTATTTTATTCAAATGTAATCACATTTGAATAAAATACACATTCATAAAATTAAATGCACAAAAATTACATATATAAAAAAACATTACATAAAAAATACATTACATACATAAAAAATACACCCCTTATATAAAAAATAAGAATATACTAATAAAATCTATAATATATTTACAAAACGTTGACAAGATAAAAAAGATAAATTTAAAACATTTATTTTTGTAAACAAATAATGTTAGTTTAAAACATTTATAGCTTTGTAGATGTGGCTCCGAGAATTAAAATAATAGTTCGTTTGATAGTATATTCTTAAAACAATTTATGCTAGAAATCTCATCAAAAACATAACAAAACTTGAATACTACAATTTTTAAAATATTTCAACAGAATACTTTAGAAATTTTGGTTAGTATTTTTTGAACCAATAGAGTTAATTTTTTATAGATTTGGCGGGTTTTTTGTGTTCGCAAATATTCTTTTTTTATTTTCCGCACAAAGATGTTTGAGAACATTCGAGTTTATGTATGTTTCCATGAATGTCCGTAAAACAAAATATTTTAAAATTTACAATAAAATAATGAACTTAATTAAAGAAACATACATAAATTTGAATGTTCTCAAAACGACTAAAAAATCTGGCCGGTTTTTCGCAATTAAATATTTTTTCCGTGGTCAGTTATCAAGTGCAATCGCACCCGCTTCCCGACCAAGCCTGCATACCCCCTATTTCTTTTTAAACTATCTAGACTTAATTACAAAATTTTATCCTTGTACAACAACATTAATGCATGCTGACAGATCTCTGAAAATTTTGAAAATTGCTGTTTTTAACCCTTCCTGTTATGTAGCTAAATCAATGGAAACATTTATATTTTATAATATTTTTATTAAAAGAATTGTAAAGAAATTAAAACAGTATAAAATATTTATTAATATTATGAAATCTTTATTAAAAGAATATAAAATTATCTTATAAATCTTATAAAATATTTATTAAACGAATATAAAACTACAGATCAAAAAGGATATTTTTCTTTAAAGGTCTCTTTTTTATAGTCTAGATACAGATTTCTAGTATCTTGCACACAGCATAGCAATAATTGCTTTTGTTCTTCCTTTGCAATGATCAAACCATTCAAGTCTTTAATAAGTTTTACTGCTCTTTTAGCTGCATCATTTTTTTGAAATGTCAACAATTCTTCGAATGTTGTATTACTAAAATGTTGTTTGACAATATCAGTGTATTTTTCAATAGTACCCAGATTAGTAGTTTTCCAGTGTCTCTAAACTTTTTGAAAATTGGGATTTCAGGGCTACTTGTGACTTGGTGGATATTTGTTTCAAATGCACATTTTAAAACCATTTTGTAAGCGTGATGGTGGCAAGCAAAAAGTTGTAATTCCCTGTCGAGTTTTTATTTCAAAGTGAACTAGCTCCCTTTAATGGCTCTGTATTATAATCCTTTTTGCCTAAAATGTGATAAAGGTCTTCCTTCCTTTTTGTTGTAGTTTCAGAACTTACTATTTGAGAGTTTGACAGTAACAGTTCCTCTTTCATCGGTGCTGGTGTGTGATCGTGATGATCTTGCGTTTGTATAAAATCTTGTGTAGTAAGAATGACAAAAAATTCACTAGACACATTTGCTAATGTCATTTTTTTTTTCTTTTTTTAATTTTCTGTCTTGTCCTTTCTTCTTTTTCAGCTAATTTTTTGTCTACAAAAAATTAATCGAAAAATAATCCTGGGTGCCCTTGATCTTTTTGTTAATGTATTTTTATCCGTTCCAAGGCATCAGCATGTGCTATATCAAAT